GGTTGTTGTGATGGCAGAACTAAACACAACAAAGCGAAAACCGTGCAGTATGCCAGATATAACCCCTGACACGGACCCCTGACACGGAAACTAGGGCGATCATCGTGAATGGGGTGATATGGTAGCTGTCGGTACAGCAAACTAGAAGCCGAAAGTCCGTCTGAGAAATTAAGGGAGGCTGGTACAGCTTAGAACGGTCATTGATTTGAGTGGCAAGGCCTAAGTACAAGAATCCGACCCCACCCACTCACTCACACTTGTAAAGCACCCGATGCCTGCGGCTGGACACCGACCAAACCTCACATCGCGATCACCCCTAAACCCAACAAACAAAGCTTAAAATCCAAGCCTACAGCCCCAAAAGCCCCACCCTGAACTGTAAACCCCGAGGTTTAATGTGTTGGGATAAACGTTCACGTTTCATCTTCATCGGGTTGTGGTATGCTGCGTTACCCTAAGGGTCCATGTACCCAAATAGTATATACATTGGCCTTAATGCAGTGCCTATATAGGTACATTGGGCCAAAGTATATACTATTTGGGTACATGGACCCTTAAACTATAGAACCCTTATAGTAACCCTTATAGTAGCCCTTAAAGGAACCCCTACTATTTGGGTACATGGACCCTTAGGGTTATGTTCAGGATTCCTGAGTACTGGGTTTAGGGTGCAGGTGTCGAGTTGAGGGCCTTGGGGTTGACGTGTCGGCCTAGGGGGTTAAGATTCAGGTTTTAGGGTTTTTTTTTTTAGGGTTTAGGGTTTAGGGTTTAGGGTTTTAGGGTTTAGGTTTTGGGGTTTAGGGGTTGAGTTCGGGGCAATTGGTGAGGAAGGGTGGTTGATCGTATCAGGACTGTGCTTTGATCATGACAGCCAATCTTACTTGTCCACTATCCCGGGGAACTGAAGGTTAACCTTTGGCAGTGTAGCGGGATTCCCCTGAGGGTCCATGTACTCTTATAGTATATACATTGGGCTTAAAGTATTCCCTATATAGGTACATTGGGCCCAAAGTATATGCTATATGGGCACATGGACCCTTGGGGTTCTATAGGGATTGTAATCCCCCCTGAAAAGGTTAAAGGTTACCTACTCTGCTACGAAGCTATTTTGGTTATATAGGGGGTAATAATACCACCTAAAAAAAAGTTACAGGTTACCGACTCTGCTACGAAGCTCTTTTGGTTAGATAGGGGATAATAATACCCCCTAAAAAATGTTAAAGGTTACCTACTCTGCTACGAAGCTATTTTTGCTATATAGGGGATAATAATACCCCCTAAAAAATGTTAAAGGTTATCTACTCTGCTACGAAGCTATTTTGGTTACATAGGGGATAATAATACCCCCTAAAAAAAGTTAAAGGCTACCTACTCTGCTACGAAGCTTTTTTGGCTATATAGGGGATAATAATACCCCCTAAAAAATGTTAAAGGTTACCTATTCTACTACGAAGTTTTTTGGGCTATATAGGGGATAATTATACCCCCTAAAAAATGTTAAAGGTTACCTACTCTGCTACGAAACTGTTTTTGGTTATATAGGGGATAACAATACCCCCTAAAAAAGTTAAAGGTTACCTAAGCTATTATGGTTATAGGAAGCTATTTTGGTTATATAGAGGATAATAGTACCACCTGAACAATGTTAAATGTTACCTATTCTACTACGAAGCTATTTTGGTTATATAGGGGATAATAATACCCCCTAAAAAAGTTAAAGGTCACCTAAGCTATTATGGTTATAGGAAGCCATTTTGGTTATATAGGGGATAAAACTACCCCCTAAAAAATGTTAAAGGTTACCTACTCTGCTACGAAGCTATTTTGGTCATATAGGGTGATAACAATACCCCCCCAAAGAATGTGAAAGGCTACCTATTCTACTACGAAGCTATTTTGGTTATATAGGGGATAATAATACCACCTAAAAAATGTTAAAGGTTACCTATTCTACTACGAAGCTATTTTGGATATATAGGGGATAATAATACCCCCTAAAAAATGTTAAAGGTTACCTAAGCTATTATGGTTATAGGAAGCTATTTTGGATATATGGGGGATAATAATACTCCCTAAAAAATGTTAAAGGTTACCTACTCTGCTACGAAGCTATTTTCGTTATATCGGGGATAATAATACCACCTAAAAAAGTTAAAGGTTACCGACTCTGCTACGAAGCTCTTTTGGTTAGATAGGGGATAATAATACCCCCTAAAAAATGTTAAAGGTTACCTACTCTGCTACGAAGCTATTTTGGCTATATAGGGGATAATAATACCCCCTAAAAAATGTTAAAGGTTATCTACTCTGCTACGAAGCTATTTTGGTTACATAGGGGATAATAATACCCCCTAAAAAAAGTTAAAGGCTACCTACTCTGCTACGAAGCTACTTTGGTTATATAGGGGGATAACAATACCCCCCAAAGAATGTTAAAGGCTACCTATTCTACTACGAAGCTCTTTTGGTTAGATAGGGGATAATAATACCCCCTAAAAAATGTTAAAGGTTACCTACTCTGCTACGAAGCTATTTTGGCTATATAGGGGATAATAATACCCCCTAAAAAATGTTAAAGGTTATCTACTCTGCTACGAAGCTATTTTGGTTACATAGGGGATAATAATACCCCCTAAAAAAAGTTAAAGGCTACCTACTCTGCTACGAAGCTACTTTGGTCATATAGGGGGATAACAATACCCCCCAAAAAATGTTAAAGGTTACCTACTCTGCTACGAAGCTATTTTGGTTATATAGGGGATAAAAATACCACCTAAAAAAGTTAAAGGTTACCTACTCTGCTACGAAGCTTTTTTGGCTATATAGGGGATAATAATACCCCCAAAAAAATGTTGAAGGTTACCTATTCTACTACGAAGTTTTTTGGGCTATATAGGGGATAATTATACCCCCTAAAAAATGTTAAAGGTTACCTACTCTGCTACGAAACTTTTTTGGTTATATCGGGGATAACAATACCCCCTAGAAATGTTAAAGGTTACCCTGCTACGAAGCTATTTTGGTTCAAGCTCAGATGTCCGTAGCTTGAGGGCTTCGGGAACTTCAAGCTTCCGGGGGCTTCAAGCTTTATGGATTTAAACGTTTAGGGATGAGGGGTTTAGGGGTTTTAGGAGTTTAGGGTTTTTAGGGTCTTTAGGGGGATTTAAGGGTTTAGGCCTTCAGGGAATATACAGGACTATCAGGCTTGATAGTGCCCTGGTTCAGGGTCCAGTCCTTTCGGTTTGGGTGTTTCGGGTGTGCGGACTGGGCTCAAGAGACTCGGCGGCGAGCTCTGGGCAGGAACTCAGCAGCTTAATGGTTAGAACAGGGTTCCTTTACAGCGGGTCTATAAGGCTTCCTGTACGGGATCTCAGAATACTATGATATAGGGCCTTCACAATTAGAATAGGGTTCCTTTGAAGGAGCTCTCTAAGGCTTACTGTAAGGGATCTATATGGGCACTATGATACAGGGGCCTTAAGAATTAGAGTAGGGTTCCTTCAAAGGGGGTCTAGAAGGCTTCCTATAAGGGACCTATGAGACTACTATGATATACGGGCCTGAATAATTAGAATAGGGTCTTGAGCCCATCATATTATGTTTCTAATGCAGAGCCCCCAAAATGGTATAGGTAATAGGTTTGGCAAGAGGCTGGCAGTTTGTATGTAGAGCGGACAGTGGACGCAAGAAGGAGTATACGGACCCCCACAATGTGACGAGAATTTTGGGGATGAGGGGAACAATTACTGCGAACGGTTGGGGGGCCCCGGCGTAAGCCGGGGCCACACACTGCTCCAAAAACTAAACAAAAACTGAAGCAACCGGGTTACCCATCATAACGGTAACAAGTTAAGAACTGAATATGTCAACATAGATGCTTGAAGCTGATAATCGCTTTATCTGTTCTATGACCCCCTGCCCCCAGTATCAAGTCCCTTGGTACTCGAAGTGGGCTTTAGGTCTTCTATGGGGGTGGGGAGGGGCACCGGCTTCATAGGAAGCCCTGACGGTGTGTGATCCGGAGATAAGGAGCAACCCTAAACCCACCTGTGATCTCATGTGTTCTTGCCGGCGAGGGGGGGGGGAGGGGTGGGGGGCGTGGGGGGGTAGACCCTACATTAGCTATGTCGTAGGGTTTGGGGCTGCAGGAAGGTTGTAAAGAAAGGATTCGTGCAAGACCCCTAGCCCAGTTGTTTGACGAGAAAACGCCAGCCTAAATTCGACCAGACCTAGAGTAACCAATGTACATTAAAAAAAACAGGGTATGATCCTAACGAATGTCGTGCATTTACCTTTCGGGGGTACCTTGGCTTCAAGAACCCTAAGGGTCCATGTACACAAATAGTATATACTGCGGGCCCAATGTACCTACATAGGGACTACGTTAAGGCCAATGTATATACTATCTGGGTACATGGACCCTTACTTGCAGGATCATGGGACTTATAGTAAGTAAGATTATGAGTACCTTAATTGGGGCTATAAGTAGTTATAAGTATAGTTACCCTAATTATAACCCTAGTTACTAAGTCCCATGATCCTTTACGTAGGGGAAGAAGCAACCCCTCTTTGCCCTGGGATGCTAAGCGCCTCGCGGCCACCACCTCGTCAAGGGCACTCCTCGGATTCCGAATCATTCGGAGCTTCGGGGCTTAGGGCATAGGGTTTCAAGTTTAGGGTTGTATGAAACCCATCTAAGTTATATGGGTTTCGGGGGGGTAGTAGGCAAAGGGTTTCAAGTTTAGGCTTATATGGTTTTCGGGCTTTTCGGCCATGGGGCTTAGTGTTGCAGGGTTTCGGGTGTATAGGGACTGTAGTATTAAGGGTTGGGCTTCGGACGCCCCTGAGGTTTCTGAGGATGGCTCTGAGTTTAGCATGTCGCCGTGGTTTGACAAGGGGTGTACAGAATACAAGGTGCCAGCGAAAATCTACATCATGTCGGCTTTTGATGGATCTCACCATTTCCTCTGCAAGCGCCACACCTGAACTTTTTGGTGAGTCTACACATCCTGTTTAGCTTTTTCTTGGTCCACCAACAAGCGCGCGATTTCAACATGGCCTTTGTCAGATGCCCTCATCAAAGCTGTGAAGCCATCTTCGTCTGCCAAGTCAGTGTTGGCGCCCACCTCAAGCAGCAAGCCCACGATTTCGACAGAGCCTTGACTACATGCCGCCATCAAAGCTGTCACGCCTCCGCCACGTGGCAAATCCGGGTCGGCGCCGCCCTGCAACAGCAAGCGCACGACTTCGACATGGCCTCCGCCAGATGCCGTCAACAAAGCTGTGAAGCCATCTTCGTCCGCCAAGTCAGTGTTGGCACCTGCCTCAAGCAGCAAACGCACGACCTTGACATGGCCTTGGGTACATGCGCACATTAAAGCTGTGATGCCTTCTGCATCTGCCAAGTTCGTGCCGGCACCGGCCTCCAGCAGTAAGCGCACGAGTTCGACATGCCCTTCGTCAGATGCCCTCAACAAAGCTGTGAACCCTTCTCTACCTGTGAATAAGTCCGGGTCAGCACCGGCCTCCAGCAGCAAGCGCACGACTTCGACATGGCCTGCGCTAGATGCTATCGGCAACGCCGTGAACCTTTCGTCATATGTAAAGTCCGGATCGGCGCCGTGCTGCAGCAGCAAGTCCACGACTTCGACACGGCCATGTCTAGATGCTGCCGTCAAAGCTGTCAAGCCCCCGCCACCTGGCAAGTGCATGTTACTGCCGGCCTCCAGTAGCAAGCGCACAATTTGGACATGGCCTGCGCCAGATGCCAGCGTCAAAGCGGTGAAGCCTTCGTCATTTGCCAAGTCCTTGTCGGCGCTGGCCTCCAGCAGCAAGCGCACGACTTCAACATGGCCTTGACTAGATGCCGATGTCAAAGCTGTGCGGCCTGCCCAGCTGTGTGTATCTGGATCTTGGGGCAGATGAAGCAACGACTCAACCTGAAGGGCATCCAGTTTCAACGCATTAATGTAGGGGCCTTCGAAACAAGAAAAGGGTTTGGGGGTCTAGTATACTTTATTCATAAAAAGGAACCCCTCAAAACCCTGTTCTAACTATTACCCCAATGGTCATATACTCTCCGTATACCTACATAACTACTATCCTAAAACCGAGTAGCTGACTATTGGGTCCGTTGGACCCTTGGGGTTAAGGCCCCTACAGTTGTCCGTCGGGCCCCTACATTAGGACCCATTATGTCCTGACCGGTCAGTAGGACTCAGGCGGGGCTACTCTTACGGGGCCTGACTGCACCTTCTCCACGGGAAGCCCATGCGCAGAGAGCCCGATACATCTTCATTAATCAATGGAGTTATACCTTAAACTCTGCAGGTCCAAGATTACATACTCACTTACCCCGAAGTTGTGGTATATTCCTCCTTAACCTACCAAAACCTACTTTTTTGTAGGGTCCCTATAAATTCCATATTAGGGTTTATAATAAGAACCTACAAGAAAGTCAGGTTGGGTAGTTTAAGGCTTAACAGAAGGGCGGTACTTGGAGGGTCGGGGGACTTAGTAAGTAGGTAGTAAGTAGACTTATAAGTACATTAAAAGGGACCCTAATTGGGGTTATGGTACTTAATAAGTCCTTAAAACAGCCAGTTACTAAGTCCCCCGACCCTCCAAGTATGGGGCCCTTGAAGATGCAGCGTTGCAGCCGTAGGTCCCCGAGAATTTCATGAAACGCCGGGTCGTTACCCAGAGGGTCCATAGATACTACCAGTATGGAATTAGGTCCCAAAAGACCATCCCCATTCTGGTTTTTGGGACCTGATTCCATAATAGTACTGTATATGGACCCTCTTGGTTATGCAGTGTGAACTACTTGGAGGATCATGGGACCTTAGTAAGTAAGGCTTAGGGTTCCTTTTAATATAAGGGTACTATAGGGTTCTATAATAGGGTTCCTTTAAGGGATCTATAGGGGGTCTATAATGGGGATCATGGGACTTAGTAAGTAAGGTTATAAGTACCTTAACCCCGATTATAAGTAGTTATAAGTATATGTATAGTCATAGTTACGAAGTCCCATGATCCTTTAATAGGCACCTTGGCAGTGCAGCCTCGTCGAGCAGCGTCTACCATGTCCTCCACCTGACTCTCAGAAACCTCAGCGAAGCTCAATAGAACGAGAGCCAGATCCATCGGGGAATCCAGGCTTACAGAATCCTCCAAATCCCGGGCATGGGCAAGGACCCTCTGTCTAAATCGCGGCGGCAAGCCATGCAGCTGATTCAGGCGCTGCTTCAAGCCCCGCACGTCGCATATCTCCCCCACGGCTATGCTCGTCACAGCTTCCCCGGAGAGCATCCTTATCTGCAGCATCTCGGGGCAATGGCGAGTCCGGTGAAATCAGACTAGACTCCGGTAGCTGGTGAGCCAAATCGTGCCGCTGCGCGCTTCGCGTTCTGCTTCTCTTCAACATGTAGAGCACTGCAACATGGCTTATAGGTTGGGTGCTGCCCCCATACACCAACAGTCTGTAGTAGGGGTACCATAAAGGGCCCTGCATGTCTCTAGTATGAGTGGAGGTGGTCTGTAAAGAAAACTAACACTGAAATTCCCGAGCCATGCATGACCCCGAAGCTGGCAAGCCTAAACTCTGTATGAACCGCAACCCGAACTAAATGCCCTGGAAAGCCCCGAACTAAAAGCCCTGCAAAGCCCTAAATCCTGAAGCCTGCAAAAACCTGCAAAGGAGGTTCCGGGGCTTGCAAGGTTGAAGATTCAAGGCTCGTGCGACGTATATGAGGTTTTCCCCAAACAGGGCGAAATCCTAAAGCATACCTAGTACATGAGGTTCTAGGTTTGTTACCGGCTGGGCTAACTGTTAAGGTATTGATTCCATTTCGTACATGACCATGAGACATGAAGCCTTTGAACGACAGGAGTGAGATGTTCGATTCTGTTGCATACGCACGGCAACTACTCAGTATAAAGCCCTTGTAAAACTAAGATCAACGAAGCATAGCGGAAGTCTATTACTCATGATATCCATTGACAGTGAGTAGGTTCATCATGCGTATCTGATTCAAAACAGAAACCGATCCTACACTTTTTCATGCCCAATTACTGAACCGAAAAGACCAAGCCTTAAACCCTTGGACTCCGAACCATCACCTCTGCCACTGCCGAGGAAGGCTCGTGATGAGAGAGTCGTTCGAGCTTTCAAAGGACGCAGACCAGACCTGCAGGAGAAGCCCTATATAAGCCCTAAACCCTAAGCCGGAAACCCTATCCTAAACCTTTGAAGAGTTTGTAAGAAGAAGTCTGTAAGGCCTCGATAAGATCTTCCAGGGTCCTGTGAGATGGCAAAGGTGCCTTAAGGAGTCCTTAAACTTAGAGTTAAGGGTTTGTAGAACTTTAGAGGTTCAGGGTATGGGGCCACCCTAAACCCTAAACCGTGGTATGGGGTGGTTGCAGGATCTTCGCGGAGGATGGCCCAAAGGGTCTCACGACTTCTTGGTGCCATGGTCTTCCGGGCTTGGGGCTTTGTGGTCCCTGAGGCTCCATGTGCCCATATAGTACATAGTCAGGCCTTAAAGTACCTATATAGGGACCCCTTTAAGGCTTAGGTATCTACTATAATAGTATATGGAGCCTTTTGGGGTTATGCTTTTGGGCTTCAGGGTTACAATGGTCGCCTCTAAACCCTTCACCCTCATCGGCGATTGAAAGGACAGAGGAATTCAAACAGCAACCGGCATTCATGCAGGCCGAAACCCCGCGACGCTTCGGCGGCGGCTGTGGCATCATCGGGGCATCATATAATGAGAATGCGGAAACCTCAGGAATATCACATACCAATGATTTCGCTCGTGCGGAGCGGTTTGCATCAGGACCAGACTGCTATTATTGTTTAATGACAAGTACGTCCGCGACATGCAATGCTGCATTCACTAGCCACACAATGATGCCTTGCAAAGCAGCAGGCGCAACAGCCTCAGCAGCGCTAGTGACCACTAGTTGTCGTCCCGGTTTGGCAGGGGTAAGAGACGTTTGGGAGTCGTGGTGATTGTTGCGATGCCTGTCGCGCTAGCACCATTTTGCCTGCGGCCAAACACAGCAGAAGGAATGGGAGTGGCAGCATGAGTGGGAGCAGCAGCAATGGCACTAGCTAGCCAGCTCAACATCTGTAATTAGTCTGAAACCGTATATGCGTCATACGAGATGTGTCGCCGAGGTTTGGCAACCCCTTCTAGATCGCTATATTATAGAACCCTCCTTGATTCCGTCAAGGAACCCTAGAGCCCTAGTGCATCCCTTTGTCTGGGCGTCCCTGCAGCTCCATGATGTCCATCCAGGCCCCAAGAGCTGCCCCGCAACGAACGAAGCTGACGCAAAGCAAGGGTCAGGGCTTTGGCTTGCATGTGTACCCTTAACCCTAGCTATATACACATGTATCTATGTGTACATATACATAATATGTGTATCTATGCAAAAATCTATTAAACTCCCAACCCTGAACCCCAAACCCTCAAAACTACTGATTTCCGAGAGACGTCGGCTTCGTTGATTCCGTGATTCTTCTTTGTTGGGATACCCTAAGGCTCCTCAGAGGGTGTTGGGCCTTCTGGGGGAGGGTTTCGGCTTTGGGGCTAGGGTTAGGGACCTCACTGCAAGGGTCCAGGAGCCTTAGGGTAGTGGAGAGGCGGAGGGGTGGAAGGATGCCACAGGAGTAAGCTCTGTACAAGAGTGCGCAACCAGATAAAGAAGATTCTGACATGCTTTCAATTCCCTACCCAAAGGCCCCAAAGTAGTTCCTGTTTGGGGTTCATATATAGAATCCTATAAGGTAAGCCCAAAAAGGAACTACTTTGGGGCCTCTGGGTGGGCCTGGAGCTCTTTCAGTCAGGTTGCTGCGCGTCGGGAGGCTGAGAACGTTGAACCATACGGTACAAGTCGCACGCCTCATCCCTTTGCCCCTAACCCCTATAATTTGAACCCTAAACGCAGAGAGCCCAATATCCCTGAATCAAGGAATATGGCCTAAATTATGAAGGGCTCCATATTATGATTTCAGCTATATTCCTTAATTAAGGGGTATGGGGCTCTCTGGGAAGCCCCTCAGGCCCGAAAGCAAACTCCTATGGAAAATGCAGCGGTGCTTGTTTCCAGGTCTCTGAGGCAAGGAGGGTGCTTGGGTCATGGATAAAAGGGGGGGGGCTTTAGATTTACAATATGAGGTCTCTACCTCCGCGCCATGGCTGCATGGAAAGTTTCCGGTTACGGTATAGAGTATAGGGTTTTCAGGCGGTTCGGGGTTCGAACTGCACATCTAGTTCTCGTCCCACGTCCGAGTCTAGCAAAGTCTGACAGTCCAAGCTGCTCTGTCGTTTGGTGCTAGAGCATTGACAAGGAGTAGCAAGCATAAAGCGGTGGCAGTGGAAAGAGAAGATAGCCTCAATTCTCGCTGCTTCGCGCACAAGTTTTTGGTGGGATGCCGAAGCGATGTCTTGAGTCTTTAGGACGTCCACAGCTCGCAGAAGAGTCGATGAGGAGGCTCTTGGGGGTAGGGCTTGGCCCGTCAACCGAAGTTTCTACACCCCAGAACAGTAACATGCTTAAAAGCCTAAGCTCAGGGAACCTGGGCAATGTGGGGGCCTCATAAAATGGAGAGCGCGTTATACTATGAATATAATATGCAACCCCATGATGGTATTGGTCACCAGTTAGGCTCCTATATTAGGTGATCTCATCGCCTCTTCGACCATACCGAGCGTCCGCAGCAAAATATTTGAGGAGCTCTGTGTGCAAGCAGGATGACATACAGAAACTCCTCTTGTAGCAGCTCAAACTACGTGTCCCCAACCGACCTAGTCATGAGGTCATAAGGTAAGTTATGTTTTGGTTAAGTTTGGTGCTAGCTAGTATTCAGTGTGTGTGTGTAGGTGCTTTTCGCAATGATCTTTCGGGGCAAATTACCACTAAAGAAAAATCCCGCTGCGTCGAAGAACCGATTTCATTACCCAGGCACATTCTCCTTTCCTGCCCTTTTGGAACCACAAACGCATGAACCCTAAACACAATTAAACTTATACACCGTATACAGACTTCACATCTATAAACCCTAAACCCTGAACATACAGATCGTAAACCCTAAGCTTTTGCTAAACTTGCGAAACGCACAACGCAAACTGACAAATTGTAAACTCTAAACAAAAAATCGTAAACCCTAAACTTGCGACTCGTAAGCCCTGAACTTGCGAATCGCAACCCCAATAATTTCAAATCGCATCTAAAAATCACAAACACCAACCTTACGAATCGCAAACCCTAAACCTGCAATTCAAACCCTAAACTCACGAGTCGTAACCACTAAATGAAACTGACGAATCGTAAACCCTAGACTTGTGATACAATTCGTGAACTATCTGCAAATAATTATGCAAACCGCAAAGCCTCTGCTTACGATTCGTAAACCACAAGCCTATAAATCAAGCCCTAAACGCAAACCTTAAACCTACGTAAGCCCCAATCCTCTACACCCTAAACCCCAAATCCTCATCGCTAACACTGACCTTACGAATCGCAACCCCCTAGCTTACAAATCAAAACCAACACCTAGGAGGCGTAAACCCTAAACTGACGCATCATAAACCCTGAATCCTCAACCCTAAACCCTAAACCCTGAAAACCCTGTAACCTTATGAACCGTAAGCCCCAATCCTCCAGACCCTGAACCCTAAACCCTAATCGCAAACCCTAAATTTACGAATCGTCAGGCCTTATCCCAAGGGTCCAAAGGACCCAATCATCAGGTACTTGGGTTTAGGATATACAGTAGTTATGTAGGTTACTATTTGGGAGAGTATATGATAACTAGGTACTTGGACCCTTAGGGAGAGTCACATCACGCATGAACATGTGTGTAATGATACTTGCAGTGTTTGCCAAAAACCTAATGAAACCCTGAACCCTAATTTACGAATCGAAAACCCTGAATGCCGGCTCAAAAGTATGTAGAAGAATAGCCTTTTAGAGGCTTTGGGCCATTATGTTACCTACTTTGGGGGGTCTAGGTAATCACAAGCCCTAAATTTACGAAGCGTAAACCCTAAATTTTCCAAATTCCCCTAATTAAACCCTAAACCCCAATTTACGAATCGAGAACCCTGACCCAAAGGGTCCTATGTATCGATCTTGTAGAATGCAGGGTTTCCATATTAGGAATTACTATTATGAGCTAGCGAAGTATCCCCCCATAACACCCTTTGGGTGAATGCCGTCTCAGTAGTCAGGCATGACCATGTCCAGTGGGCAGAAGACGTAGTTCTCCGCTTCTAAGCCCTGGCCGGTTTAGGGTTTAGGGTGGTTTAGGGTTT